TATTGGGGGGTACTGGCCGGGTATGGGGGGCTGTTACATGGTATTGGGGGGTACTGGCCGGGTATGGGGGGCTGTTACATGGTATTGGGGGGTACTGGCCGGGTATGGGGGGCTGTTACATGGTATTGGGGGGTACTGGCCGGGTATGGGGGGGTGTTACACGGTATTGGGGGGGTATTACCTGGCAGTAGAGGCGGTAGAGGGGCACCGCAGCATAGGCCGCCCCCAGCATGCCCAGCCCGGCGGCGGTCACGTAGGTCAGGACGGTCCGGTTCCGGTTCTTCCATTGCTGCTCCTGGTTCCGGGTAAACGGGTTCTGCGCCCTCACACCCCGGGCCCCCAGGGGCCCCCCGGCAGCGCTCCGGCCCCGCGCGCACACTGACCCCAACCCGTGACCGCGGCATCCCAGCCGGCACAGCAGCAACATGGCGGCCGGTCACCTGACCGGAAATAACTCCAACTTCCGGTGACGTCACGGACAGCTGGATCCGCCACTTCCGGCGAGAGATCGGCTGAGCGAGAGAGACTGAGAGAGAGAGGTGAGAGCGGCCCCCGGGGGCCTGACCTGCCCGCACACCGCACCATAACCACTGCACGCCACAGCCCCGCGCTGGGTATAGTGCCGGCACTCTCTATACACCCATTGTACGGCGCCACGGAATCTGAGGGCGCCATCATAATAATAAATAATAATATAATAATAATAATAAATAATTAATAATAATATAATAATAAATAATTAATAATAATAATATAATAAATAATTAATAATAATAATATAATAAATAATAATATAATTTAATAATATAAAATAATATAATAATAATATAATAAATCAATAATAATAATAATATAATATAATAATATAAAATAATATAATAATAATAATATAATAATATATCAATAATAATAATAATATAATAAAATGATAATATCATATCTCACTCTATACACTATAACTGTCTGTATAATAATAATAATATATTATATCCAGCTCTCACTCTATACACTGTCTGTATAATAATAATATCAGATCTCACTCTATACACTGTCACTGTCTGTATAATAATAATATGATATATTATATCCAGCTCTCACTCTATACACTGTCACTGTCTGTATAATAATAATATGATATATTATATCCAGCTCTCACTCTATACACTGTCACTGTCTGTATAATAATAATAATAATAATATATTATATCCAGCTCTCACTCTATACACTGTCACTGTCTGTATAAATATAATAATAATAATATATTATATCCAGCTCTCACTCTATACGCTGTCACTGTCTGTATAATAATAATATATTATATCCAGCTCTCACTCTATACACTGTCACTGTCTGTATAATAATAATATGATATATTATATCCAGCTCTCACTCTATACACTGTCACTGTCTGTATAATAATAATAATAATAATAATATATTATATCCAGCTATCACTCTATACACTGTCACTGTCTGTATAATAATAATAATATATTATATCCAGCTATCACTCTATACACTGTCACTGTCTGTATAATAATAATAATATATTATATCCAGCTATCACTCTATACACTGTCACTGTCTGTATAATAATAATAATAATATATCCAGCTCTCACTCTATACACGGTCACTGTCTGTATAATAATAATATATTATATCCAGCTCTCACTCTATACACTGTCACTCTCTGTATAATAATAATATATTATATCCAGCTCTCACTCTATACACTGTCACTCTCTGTATAATGATAATAATATCAGATCTCTCCCTGATGTACACTGTCACTACCTGTCTGTCTAATAATAATGATGATAATATCAGATCTCTCCCTCTATACACTGTCACTGTCTGTCTAATAATAATAATAATAACAGATCTCTCTCTATACACTGTAACTATCTGTCTGTCTGTATTATAATAATCATAATATATTAAATCCAGCTCTCCCTCTATACACTGTCACTGTCTGTATAATAAAAATACTAATATATTATATCCAGCTCTCACTCTATACACTGTCACTCTCTGTATAATAATAATAATAATAATAATAATATAATATATTATATCCAGCTCTCACTCTATACACTAATAATATCATATCTCACTCTATACACTGTCACTCTCTGTATAATAATAATAATATATTATATCCAGCTCTCACTCTATACACTGTCACTGTCTGTATAATAATAATAATAATAATATATTATATCCAGCTCTCACTCTATACACTGTCACTCTCTGTATAATAATAATAATATATTATATCCAGCTCTCACTCTATACACTGTCACTGTCTGTATAATAATAATATCATATCTCACTCTATACACTGTCACTGTCTGTCTAATAATAATATCAGATCTCACTCTATACACTGTCACTGTCTGTATAATAATAATATCAGATCTCACTCTATACACTGTCACTGTCTGTCTAATAATATCAGATCTCACTCTATACACTGTCACTGTCTGTATAATAATAATATCAGATCTCACTCTATACACTGTCACTGTCTGTCTAATAATATCATATCTCACTCTATACACTGTCACTGTCTGTATAATAATAATATCAGATCTCACTCTATACACTGTCACTGTCTGTATAATAATAATATAATATATTATATCCAGCTCTCACTCTATACGCTGTCACTGTCTGTATAATAATAATATCATATCTCACTCTATACACGGTCACTGTCTGTATAATAATAATATCAGATTTCACTCTATACACTGTCACTGTCTGTCTAATAATATCATATCTCACTCTATACACTGTCACTGTCTGTATAATAATAATATCAGATCTCACTCTATACACTGTCACTGTCTGTATAATAATAATATAATATATTATATCCAGCTCTCACTCTATACGCTGTCACTGTCTGTATAATAATAATATCATATCTCACTCTATACACGGTCACTGTCTGTATAATAATAATATCAGATTTCACTCTATACACTGTCACTGTCTGTATAATAATAATATAATGTATTATATCCAGCTCTCACTCTATACACTGTCACTGTCTGTATAATAATAATATCATATCCCACTCTATACACTGTCACTGTCTGTATAATAATATCAGATCTCACTCTATACACTGTCACTGTCTGTATAATAATAATATAATATATTATATCCAGCTCTCACTCTATACGCTGTCACTGTCTGTATAATAATAATATCATATCTCACTCTATACACTGTCACTGTCTGTATAATAATAATATCAGCTCTCACTCTATACACTGTCACTGTCTGTATAATAATAATATAATATATTATATCCAGCTCTCACTCTATACACTGTCACTGTCTGTATAATAATAATATATTATATCCAGCTCTCTGCATCTCCCACAATGCTCCAACAGCCATCATACTGACAAAGCATAATGGGAGGTGTAGTCCAGCCCCACCTGGAGAGCTGGAGGTTTGCCTGTCCCTGTTACAGGGATCCCCGCTGTCAAAATGGGAAACAGAATCCATTTCCATCTCCGCCCTATTATCCTAAAATGCGTCACATTAACATGTCAGACCCTCACATTTCATTCTTTGCTCAGAGAGTAAATCCATCAATCTTACCGGTAATCCAGTGTGTGGACAGACCCCGTGCAGCAGCCAGGATTAGTGTTCAGTTATGTCATAGAGAAGCATTGTGGACGTAGCGTGCATGCGCAGCTTGCCAATCACAGCGCCTTAACCCAGAATCATTGAATCCATCATCATGCTATGCGATGACGAAAATAAAGGCCTTCGAAAATCCAAGGTGTCATGGTGCAAGAGACCCTGATGTCTTGATGTAGGCAAAATGTAAACATTGTCAGACAAAAAGTATTACGTACTATACTGCATTACGAAGCAGTGGTTTTGATGCTTAGAATGCACTTTTAACGGCAGGGTTCTAAAGAAAATGTCTTTTAATGAAAATTGATTTTTTTATCATAATAACATACATCGCCCTTTGATTTATAGCGGACTGACAGTTATGGGAAAAATGAACTTAATAATTTGATAATTGCGAAGCCTGCAGTCCATCATCCGGCTAACTTCCTTCGGCAGGTTCCAACATTCGTAAAAGTGATGGCCGCTTCTACTGAAATAAGGTAGGATGATAAACAGTTTACCTTTTTGGAGGGATGGGAAGGAACCCGTAACATACCATTACCATTTTTCATTGATGAGAGACTAAAGGGCTGTTATTATTATTTGTTATAATTTACATTGAAAACACTAAAACATGTCATTCTTTTAATAAAAAGGCTAGGTTTAGGCACTAAAAAAATTGTCAGGAACTCAAAGTGAATTTTCCATTTCAGTTTGGCTATTAGCCACAATTGCAATTTACTTTCTTTTCTGTGAATCAACAAGAAGTGGAGCAATAATTAGCTGAGGTACCCCACACCCAACAGGAATAAAAAATATCTCAAAGAGTTAAAACAGGTAAACAGACAATAATAAAGATACATGACTATATTAACCTTAACTCTTAAAGGGACACTATAGTTACCTGAACAACTTCAGCTTAATGAGGTTGTTCAGGTTAAAACTATAGCTCCCTGCAGCCTTTCTCATGTAAACACTGTATTTTCTGAGAAATTACAGTGTTTACATTGAAACCTAGGAACACCTCCAGTTGCAGTCACTCAGAGTGAACCAGAGGGACTTCGGAGTTGATGGATATGCCTCCATCCACTCAGATCTGCTGTCAGCAGAGCACAGGGCAGCACTGTGCACAGCATCCTGTGATTCAGTATCTCCTCCCTCTGCATGCAGACACTGAACTTTCCTCATAGAGATTCATTGATTCAATTCATCTCTATGAGGAGATACTGATTGGCCAGGGCTGTGTTTGAATCATGCTGGCTCTGCCCCTGATCTGCCTCCTTGTCGGTCTCAGCCAATCCTATGGGGAGGCATTGTGATTGGATCAGGCTATGTCAGCAGACTGCTTGTTTTTCTGCGTCTTAACAGCATGCAGATTTACAGCTTCAGGCTTGAATACAGTAAGATTTTTACTATATTTATGGAGGCATGAGGGGCCCAGGGGGGCTAGATGGTGGTGTTAACACTATAGGGTGAGGAATACATGTTTGTGTTTCTGACCCTATAGCTATCCTTTAAGTTACCAGTAGATGACAGCAATTAATCACAAGATCACACAGTGCATAGAAGAAAAAATAGAGAAACATCAATAATAGTGTGGAACCGATTACTGTTATCCACTGGTAACTTAAAGGGACCCTATAGTCACCAGAACAACTACAGCTTATTGAATTTGTTCTGGTGAGTAGAATCATTACCTTCAGGCTTTTTGCAGTAAACACTGCCTTTTCAGAGAAAATGCAATGTTTACATTACAGCCTAGTGATAACTTCACTGGCCACTCCTCAGATGGCTGTTAGAGATCCTTCCTGGGTCATGGCTGCCTAAAATACATCCAAACATTCAGTATATCCTCCCTCTGCATGCAGACACTGAACTTTCCTCATAGATATTCATTGATTCGATTCATCTCTATGACGAGATGCTGATTGACCAGCCTCCTTGTTATTCTCAGCCAATCCTATGGGGAAGCATTGTGATTGGATCAGGCCACCACTTCTGCTGATGTCAGCAGGCAGAGGGCAGGTCTAAAGGAAACAGGGACAAAGTAAGCAGCTCCAGACTTGAATACAAGTAAGATTTTACTACATTTAGGGAGGCATGAGGGGCCAGGGGGGGGGGATAGATGGTTGTTTTAACACTATAGTGTCAGGAATACATGTGTGTGTTTCTGACCCTATAGTGCTACTTTAAGTATCGATTTTTTTGGATTCCTGTTGGGTGTGGGTACTTCGCCTAAAAATAGCTCAACTTCATTTTGATTCACTTTGATGTTATGTTGTTAGATGCCATGAAGGGAGAGCATCGAAGTGTGTAGCAGCCAGAGATATTATTGTAACCGTATCATTAGATCACTTTCCATGTGATATAGATCCCAGGTCTTTTTACCACTTTTGCCCTAGGTCTATTTAGCCCTCTGATATTTTCTCTTTTTTTACCATTTATTTTTTATTGGCAAAAATTATAAATTTACTTTGAATTCCTGAGAAATCACACGTTAATAAATAACCCAGTCTATGTTTCTAAAAATGTGCCAAACCTCGAAAGTCCTTTATTATAGATGAGGAGAAATCCCACCCAAGGCTGATTGATTCTGAGTGCTGTAATTGTATATTTGAGAGGTGAGCAGTGTTTACCTATGTTAGAGAAAGGTTTACACTACTGTCTTTTCTGTTCTTGTTCTTGCATTGTGTTGGAGAACGTTGCTGAGGAGGTGAGTGAGGCAGGGATTTGTTCCGTGATTTTAACAGATGTTCTCGTGTTTTCTAGTAAGATCCCAGCACAGCTAATTACGGTAGCCAAGCAAAGCAGCCTGGGTCTGAGCCTCGCCGGAGAGATTAGCAGAACAGAAGGACCATTGATCTACGTTAAGGACATTATTCCTGGTGGAGACTGTCACACGGTGATTATCTCTCATACTAAACGTCTTCCTCAAATGTCTACTTACTAAACAGTGACCTGTCAACTGACTGGCAAACTCTTCACCAAAATAGCCGAATTACAGAGAAAATATCCAGCTGCTCAGAGTTTCAAACATTTTAGAACTTACGTCCTTAGTCTGAATTTTGTACATTGATTGTCAGCTAATACAACTCACTGTTTAGTGAACAGACCCCATAACAGTGCTGTTCCATCAATAAATAGCTGAATTGTTGTCACTCTCTCCAATCTAGTAAAATAAAATGTATCCAGATTATTATTTACTGTTACTGTGCTGCTGTGAACAGAAATTCTGATATGAGTTAAAGAGCCATTTAAAGCATTTTCTCAAACTATAGTGCAGGAATGAATGTCTGTAGATTTCAGTGTTGACTGCTAGGAGCCCTTGTGCCAGTGTGAAGCCTGCATTCTGCCCAGCTGCTGTCAGTATGCTTGTTGGAGTTCCATGATTTTATATACAGTAGATAAAGGGAACCCAAGTTAAGTGTCCTGTGCCAATTGTCTGCCAAAAGCAGGAGAGAGAGAGACTTTAACCATAAAGAGTGTGAAAGCCACCACTTAGTAGCTGAGCCTCAACGTATGTTCAGTATAAATAAATATTTAGTGCACTTGCCAGAATGTCCGTGCCCTTTCCAAATGATCCCGTCAGTGGCATTCATTTCCCTGATAGGTAGAACACTTCCTGTCTAAGACCCTTCACTATGAAACAATAATAGGCTAGTTTTATTGATGTGCCATGGCTCACATTCCTTAAATTCATTAATAGACCCATGTGACGAACCAAACCTCGTCATGGGCTCCTGGAGGAGCCTGCTTAGCCATGCAAAATACACTGAAAAAAGGCTTGGTCTTGTTCCTGCGAACGCAGGCAGCAGTGTTTGGACATACATCTCATGGAAATAAAATCGGACACAGAAACTCCCGAACACCGCTGGACTTCCATCAGCACCTGCGGTTCTACCCCACTTAGAAAGGCACTGTGCGGTGAAAACGTTCCCACAAACAAGGGAAACAGGCTACACAAATAACTTAAGGATTCAGTTGGGTGTTTTATGTACTTTTGCGCTCCCGAAAAAGACCTACCGTTGGCCCTGATTTCCTGGAACTGTTTAGGATCATGTGCACGGTCAAAAATGTGACTTCCATGAAAATACCGAACCCATGAACCGATCGTGGTTATTTTTGGATATGTTGGTCACCCAGATTGGGGCGATCAAGAGATGTGACTTTTGTGGAGTTTTCATGTGTGTTGGGTTGTATTTTTGGGGTTATGTTATATTGTATGTTTTTGTAACTGAGAGATAATTTAATTATATGTTTGTGTGATCAGGTAGGGCGCAGAGGAGGAGTGTGTGGAATGTTTGTAACTAGTTCCTCTCAGGTCCAGAGGGGAATGCCCCGTGAATATGTTTAAGGAAACCCCTTGCATGGGGAGTTACATAAAAGGCCATGTGTGACTTCTATTAAACACATTCGTTTTACCCCTTCATGAAGTCTAGGCTCATGTCTGGGGGATTGGAGAGCTCTAATCACTACTCTGCTGGAAACAGGAGAGCTCTAATCACTGCAGCATTTGGTATTAGGGAGACTTAATGCGGATATACTCAGCCAGAGTATAGGGGATCTGGTACAACCCAAACTTCCAATAATATTACAGCCATGAATATATTCTAGCTTAAAGCGGCACTGTCACACAAACTTACCCTTCTCTTATGGTTTTCCTCTTCTCTTCCTCTCTCAGCAGATGTTCTCCTTTACTTTTCTGATATAGTTTTCTTTAAAATATAAGACAAAGAAGGGACTACTTTGTCTTATGTATTTTTGCTACGCCTGACATTCTCTGACACAAGGAGGAGCTTAAGTTACTTCCATTTCCTGTGTCAAAGAACGTTTTCCCGCAATACTTACCCTCCTCCTTGAAGAAGGAAATGGAACTAACTTAAGTCAAAGAATGTCAGGTGTAGAAAAATACATAAGACAAAGTAGTCTGCAGTTCCACTTTTCAGAGTCTGTTAACTTCACCATCAGTGATCTTCTTCACCAAATGTCCTGCAGAGGACACTGTGCAGTGCATGAAAGGGGCTGACTTACTCCCAGTTTCACAATCCAGATACCCACTGTGAGGATATTCAATATAGGGAAAAAAAAACCGTGCAGAATCTAAATTAAAGAAGGTCCATTTATAGAGGTCGTATCACTACTGAGAAGTGTTGAATTTCTGATTTTCCTCCAAGACGACAGTCCAGCCAGTCTCCAAGAAGGCAGATTTAGCCCTGTCTTGCAAAGATTTTCTCAGTAGTATTTCCTTGGCTCTTATCAGAACTGGGCTGAGTTTGGCTTGCACTGTGTTTAGCAAACTGATGACTGTAGGACCAATATGTGTGGTCAAAATATTGATGGAGTGAATACATGGGGACCTATAAAAGATGCATTGCCAATATATTAATCATTTGGAGGGGATGAAAGGTGAGCTGTCATTAACTTTGCTTTTGAAATGTTGGTTTTATTAATGGCAGGTTACATTAGTGCAGCATACGCCATCTATACGTGGCTGTGGCTAGGTTTTCATGTAAGGTGAGGTCAGTGTCTGTTTACGCTTTTTTCAAAGTCTGCCACTTGAGGTCATCCATAGATTATTTCAAAATTGGTTCCCTGCGCCATCTGTCTCCCTGCACATACTTCCTCAAAACTGCAGCATTTGTGAATGTCATGCAGGTATAAGCCTGTGACTTTATTGGAGGAATCCATATTCCTTCCTATTTAAATATGGTAACATAGAATGTGACGGCAGATGAGAACCATTCGGCCCATCTAGTCTGACCAATTTTCTAAATGCTTTCATTAGTCCCTGGCCTTATGTTAAGTCTAGGTTAGCCTTATGCCTATCCCATGCATTCTTAAACTCCTTCACTGTGTTAAGACTATGTCCTCTTGCTGTGGTAGTTTTTCTTCTTTTAAATATAGTCTCCTCCTTTACTGTGTTGATTCCCTTTATGTATTTAAATGTATCTATCATATACCCCCTGTCTCATCTTTCCTCCAAACTATACATGTTAAGATCCTTTAACCTTTCCTTGTAAGTTTTATCCTGCAATCCATGAACCAGTTTAGTAGCCCTTCTCTGAACTCTCTCTAAGGTATCAATATCCTTCTGGAAATACGGTCTCCAGTACTGTGTACAATACTCCAAGTGAGGTCTCACCAGTGTTCTGTACAATGGCATGAACACTTCCCTCTTCATACTGTTAATACCTCTCCTTATACAACCAAGCATTCTGCTAGCATTTCCTGCTGCTCTATTACATTGTCTGCCTACCTTTAAGTCATCAGAAATAATCACCCCTAAATCCTTTTCCTCAGATATTGAGGTTAGGACTCTTTCAAATATTCTGTACTCTGCCCTTGGGTTTTTACATCCAAGATGCATTATCTTGCACTTATCCACATTAAATGTCAGTTGCCACAACTCTGACCATTTTTCTAGTTATACCATATAACATTTTTTGTAGAGTGCGCATTCCATGCAAGTTCCACCTCCCTGTCTGTTTCTGTGTGAAAACCCTTGTTATGGCTGCACATGTTCAGTAGATTGCATGCACTGCACCGTTTACAAACCATGACTAGGGCTGCCATTGAGTTCGTCAGTGAGATCTGATTAGTGGAACTGGGGCTGGAAGCAGAACTACATACTCATAAATTACTGATGGACAAAGATCAGGCTTTTTTTATTATATTTTTCATAATGCGTTATTTTTATAACACATAACAAATATGTGTTGTTCAGTTAATAGCAATTCTACTGTAAAAAGCCAACTCCTGAACTACGATTCCCAGAAACATTTGCTATGCATCCTTTTAAGATAATACATCCCGCATGGCAGCAGTATTGGTATCCCCCGAATTATTGGACCAAATACTGCACTCTGGAAAGGAGGGGAAGAGAGGGTCAACTGATTAAGAAAGCAAATTATATTATTTTTTATTATTTGTTTACGGAGTGTCCCTTTAATAATATAAACCCACCCAGTATAACTAACTGTAACCTAAACTACACAGTGCATCTAACGTGTGTGGGAGTCTGGAGTGTCCCTTTAATAATATAAACCCACCCAGTATAACTAACTGTAACCTAACCTACATAGTGCATCTAACATGTGTGGGAGCCTGGAGTGTCCCTTTAATAATATAAACCCACCCAGTATAACTAACTGTAACCTAACCTACACAGTGCACCTAACGTGTGTGGGAGCCTGGAGTGTTCCTTTAATAATATAAACCCACACAGTATAACTAACTGTAACCTAACCTACACAGTGCACCTAACGTGTGTGGGAGCCTGGAGTGTCGCTTTAATAATATAAACCCACCCAGTATAACTAACTGTAACCTAACCTACACAGTGCACCTAATGTGTGTGGGAGCCTGGAGTCCCCCTTTAATAATATAAACCCACCTGGTATAACTAACTGTAACCTAACCTACACAGTGCATCTAACGTGTGTGGGAGCCTGGAGTGTCCCTTTAATAATATAAACCCACCCAGTATAACTAACTGTATCCTAACCTATACAGTGCATCTAACATGTGTGGGAGCCTGGAGTGTCCCTTTAATAATATAAACCCACCCAGTATAACTAACTGTAACCTAACCTACACAGTGCACCTAACGTGTGTGGGAGCCTGGAGTGTCCCTTAATAATATAAACCCACCTAGTATAACTAACTGTAACCTAACCTACACAGTGCATCTAACGTGTGTGGGAGCCTGGAGTGTCCCTTTAATAATATAAACCCACCCAGTATAACTAACTGTAACCTAACCTACACAGTGCACCTAGCGTGTGTGGGAGCCTGGAGTGTCCCTTTAATAATATAAACCCACCCAGTATAACTGTAACCTAACCTACACAGTGCACCTAACGTGTGTGGCAGCCTGGAGTGTCCCTTTAATAATATAAACCCACCCAGTATAACTAACTGTAACCTAACCTACACAGTGCACCTAACGTGTGTGGCAGCCTGGAGTGTCCCTTTAATAATATAAACCCACCCAGTATAACTGTAACCTAACCTACACAGTGCACCTAACGTGTGTGGGAGCCTGGAGTGTCCCTTTAATAATATAAACCCACCCATTATAACTAACTATAACCTAACCTACACAGTGCTAGTAATGTGTGTGGAAGCCTGGAGTTTCCCTTTAATAATACAAACCCACCCAGTATAACTAACTGTAACCTAACCTACTCAGTGCCAGTAATGTGTGTTGAAGCCTGGAGTGTCCCTTTAATAATATAAACCCAATCAGTATAACTAACTATAACTTAACAGCAGATTGTACAACCTTGATTAGACTGTTTGATAAATGGAACTCTGTAACAGGGGCGTACCTAGAGCATTTGGCACCCGGGGCGGATCCTGTGCTTGGCACCCGGGGCGGATCCTGTGCTTGGCACCCC